AGAGCAAAGAAAAATTAGTACATCCATCAGGTGGCCAGAAAACATGACTCCCAATCAATCTATGTATTCCAAATATAACTGGAAATGTCCGCCTGTCTGTCTGTATGTCTGGCATATCTCGAGTAGCATTCAACTTGTCAGCCTCACACTTTTCATGAGTATTTTAAAGAACCTAATGAATTGCAGAGTTGACTTTGGTGGGATTTGGACACAGGATGTGTTCAATATTAACAAACTTTGTATAAAAGGGAAACCAGAGCCCCTCAATCACAACAATGCATACTGGGGAGCGCAGTCCATAGTGACTTGGCTTGGGAACCGGAGGGTGGCCGGTTCAAGTCCAGCATGGACGGAAGTTGGAGAGGTGCTAGTTCACCTCCTGGGCACTGCCGAGGTGCCCTTGAGCAAGGCACCGAACCCCCCAATTGCTCCCCGGGCGCCTTCATTGCTGTTCCGTGTGTGGTCACTGTGTGGATTGTGTTCCGTGTGTTCCGTGTGTGCTCCGTTCACACGGATGGGCTAAATACAGAGGTCAAATTTCCCCATGTTTGCATGTTGCATGCTGAGTGTGGGACCAAAAATAGGAATCTTAATCTGAACAACAGGTGCGTTCACAACAATGGCAACAACAACTGATTCCCCAGTGCAGGGTTCATGTGAGCTTCACTGAATAAACAGCAGCAGTCGGTCTTTACTTGTCACCACTCGATTACTGCAGGTCACTGCACAGTTTCAAAAAGAAACACTGCAACCAGCGTCACCACAGGCCAAACAAACAGCCCATTCCAAACAGGCATCATTAAAATGGGCTCTGCACTTGTTCTAATGTTATGACTCGGTGTTCAGCATGTTCATCATATACGCTTGATGTATTGTCAGTGTTACTCGCTGATTGTTTCTGTTGCTGAGCCATGGAATAAAAGAAAGAATACACATGATTTAAAAGGGGAACGCATTCAGCTTTAATCTATTTGTGTTCATTTTTATTAAATAATATTTACTCTAAAGCAAACAAACAATGACAGTAAAAAATAAAAGGATCACAGTTAGTGCAATGCAGAGGTTAAAGATGAGAAACGTCCCTGTTAGTTTTCATTAGTAATGTTTTTGATCTTTATGAGTTATTCAGACTTGGTTTCCCAGTGTCGGCTGAACTTCAGGTTGAACAGATGTCGGGGCAGTGGCCACCTCTTTCGCTTCTCTCTGCAAACCCACAGGGCCACCTTCGGCATTCGGCTGCGGTCCAGTGCCGACCAGCCCCTGTGTTTGCGGGGCTCCGGCTGAGGCAGTAACCACAGCTGGTGGGACACCTGCCTGTCCCAGGTTTGAGAGCCCGGCAGCGGCCGGGCTCTGCACAGCTCCTGCAGGCAGGTTTGCGATCATGGTGGGCATGTAAACACCCAGCCGACTCATTTTAGCTGCCACCTGAAACAGAGGAGAGGGGAAGGATAGAGTTGGATCGTCAATAGGATCATTGAGTTCGACCGAGATTGTTTGAACAAGCCGAAGCGATGATAAAAAATCTTGGCTGTGTTACCCTACCTCAAGCTCCTCTGAGCTGAGAGTGCCAAGTAGAGAGGTCTATAAAGAACGGTAGAACACGTCAAATAAAACATCAGCAAGAAAACTGGGGAAATACATAAGATCATAAATTATTTTAATGTGCAAGTTTAAAAAGATCATTTTGTATTTACCATGGGTTGTTGGAGCATGTAGACAATGTGAGGATTCTGTGGATGAAAAGTAGCCTGAGTATCATGCAACTTCTCCTTTCCTTTAAGTTTGACCATATTTTCAAGAAGAAACTCTATTTTCATATGAGCTGTGCTGTTAGATTCAGTTTATGAAGCAATGGTAGACACCTGTTGTTGCAGCTGCTGCACTGGCTGAGGTGCCTCTCCTGGAAGAGCAGCTTCAGAGGGAGTCTGTGCCGGTAAGACCTGACCGCTCGGAGGTGGATTTGCTGGAGTTTGTTGTGGAGGAATAACGGGGAATCCATATGGGGAGGACGGCTGAAGGAGAAAAACACAACATTCTACTCCTATTTCAGTTTTTGTCAATATTTCTGCATCAGGAAAAGACTGAAATTAAGTCTTGAGTGTTTTAAACACCAGTCATTAAAACACAAAGGAGCCCAACTGCAATAACAACTGTGGAAGAAAATCACATGCAAGACAAAACAGGATCAGAAGTTCCCATCGCAGAGTCATAAATCAGTCTGTAAGTCTTCATTCCCACATCATGGTCTGTTATGAAAGAGTTTCAGGATGTGTCTGTTTTCCTATATGTTGACAGTACGTGTAAGGGGGGGGGGAAGAAAACCCTGTCATCACCACCACCTCGACCTCATCTTGAAAGCTTTCAGGCTGGGCTGTGGTTGAAAAATATTGTTTTGGTTTTACGGTCTATAGCACGGCACAGCACAGACGGTGTGTTTCCTAATAATACATTACCAGCTGATTCCCGTACAGTGGCTGAAACATAGGGAAGTATCCGTAAGAGGGGAAAATCTGAAAACAGCAAGAAAACAGAATAAGTTATTTAAGAAAATG